GGGGGCTGGTTTTAAATTGACGATTTTGGGTCAATTTATGGTCTATACTTTTTACTTATTGTAATACTTCAACCACTTGTAAATCTACAATTTCAGATTTTCTGTCTTAAAACTGTTATTTTGCCTATTATGCAATAAAATGTTTTTTCCTCAAAACTTCAATTTTTTTTAGTTTTTCTCATCTACTTTTTTTTTCTATTTGGTTCCAATGAAATGTTCTGGGCTTGTTATTCAAACAATAACCTAAGTTTGTACAGGTGGAAAATCGAATCAGTGTATTCGTAAGTGAGTTGCATGGAAGATTATGTTATCGAATTCAGAGGCATGAAGGGGTAGGTCAGTTATCCATCTCTAACTTTTTTCCTATTCAAGACAGCCAAGTTCCCAACTGTAAAAAAATTATATTGAGTATATTAATATTATAATCTATCAATATACCAAATTTGAACTAATTTGTTTGGTAAATTAAAAAGCCGTTTTACTTTTATGAAAGTTGTTTATTTTCAATATGGCAGTCGTTACCATGGTAACTGTAGACTTAAAACAAAAGAATTAAAGTTACATTTTAAAGATGTTTCCTTGTTATACCTCCTTGCTAAAAGGCTTTACATTATCTGAAAGGTCATAGTTACCGAGATAGGTTTGTAACACCCCCCCCCCTATTTAAGGCACTTGCAACACAATTAATTAAGCCCATACTTTTTTCGTAAGAGTTTTACGGCACTTGCAATACAATTAGGTCATAAAAGCGCCGAAGATTAGAGGAGCTACAAGGGGGTCACAAACACAAAAAAGGAGGGGAGATAAAGACGATAGTTTGATAGGAAAGAAGGAGCATACATTACTCTTTTAAAAGACATTTCTTTACTAATACAGTATTCGGCACGCGTGTGACCTTTTCGTTACAAGTGCCGCAAAAATCGCATTAAAACAAATCAAACAGAAAGAGACGAATCATTCAATGAGAGGGGCGATGGTAACAACAGAAGACGGGGAAGGAGGCGGAAGGGGGGAGGGGTCTAAACCGACAAAACCTGTCACGTCAATTTTTTGTTTATTGCAACAGCTGGCAGGTCGTTTCATTTAATAGATCTACCCTTGACCCCTACTCTCCAACCCTCAGCTACCTTCTCTAATCAATCTACAACATCAGTCGTTTCCCACAGATGTACACATAGAAAAGAGCAGTCAGCCTCGAGTAAAATGAGTAAGTTCGGGTTTACTGCACACAATATGTACAAGTACACAAGTGCCTCAGCTGTAGCTCTTTGTTTGTTGGAGTAGAGGGAAGAAGAACATCGACACAATAACGATCAATTCAGAGCTGGGAAAAAGTAAGGCAAACAGAGAAAGAGAGAGAGAGAGAGAGAGAGAGAGAGAGAGAGAGAGAGAGACAGACAGACAGACAAACAAACAAACAGACAAAAGAGCCAAAAAATTACTGTTTTATTAAGTGTTTTACAGCACTTGCAACACAATAAGGTCATTTAAGTGCTGAAGATTAGAGGTGTTACAAGAGAGTAACAAACACAAAAAAGGAGGAGGGGAGTAAAGGACGATAGATGTTTGATAGCAAAGAAGAAACAAACCACACCACAGCACCCGCCAACCACCAACAAAAAATTAAAGACGTTGGACCTAGCAGCAGCGTCCTCCAACTAACTACCTACACACAGATAGATAGAATTTAGAAATGACAGAGGGAACGTAAGAAAACAAGTAGGCTACCGCAGGTAGGACCGTGTCACAACACGGGCACCCATCAATTTTGGGGCCCACAGAGTTATTGATGGGCCTATAACCTTAAAGCCTGTTCATCTATTTTGTTTATGGTGAAAAAATACCATTGTATCTTGAATAAAAGTCGAAATGTTTGGGATTGAAGCAGGTGGGGGTCTTCTCCTGTCACAGGTAAAATTAGCGAGAAAATAGCTGCCAAAGTTTTGCAACTTCAATCGCTTGAGTGTCCATGGAAACTGCAATATATTACATTTTTTGTGCCTTTGATCAACATTTTATAGTAAAATCCACACAAAATGCCTTTATATGGACATAAACGGTGTAGAGCCAAAATGTTGTTTTCTTCAATTTCATTATTTTCCCAAGCACCTGATTTCACCAGGATGTGTCACAAATGTTATCAATGTTTTTGAGTTGTCAGAGCATGGTTTTCTAGGAGTCTGAAGCTGGACGAAGAAAAGCTTCAGTAACAATAATAAGATCAGTGTGGTCATAAAAATGTCTAAATCAGGTCCCCATGGTTTTATGCACCCAGCATAATTTAACAAAATTTGAAGATTTTTTGCATAATTTCCGATTATTTTCCTTTATCATTCTTTGTTAAAATTAACAAAATCGCATAATTTCACATTTTTTGGCTCAGTTTGCATAATTTCCTAATTTTTCTTGCATAAAACGACGGGGACAGTCTAAAAGAGGAAACCAGATGTGTCAAAATGAAATTTAATGAAAATCAACATTTCTTGTTGATATGTATTCAAAGAACAACCCAAGAATTGGATATTTTGTAGTAATTTTATAGCAATTTTATACTCACAGAAATTATAGCATAGATACAAAGGGTAATCAAACACATCAACTGAAGGTCAACTTTTAAATGTTGTAGGTGGGTGCTGTAAATCCCCTATGATTTTTTTTACCCACTTAAGGCTTACATCAAAGAAAACGTGTCGGAACCTTAGTTTGCAGTGACTTTTATGAACAGATTTTTAGATTCTGTTGGCCGCTAAACTTTTAGACCCGCATGCAAAGACCCAGAAAGATAAATCAGAGCGATTTGTTTTTAGCCCGTTTAAACCACGGTCAGACAAAAGTGAACGAGCTATATGTCATTCAGTGCACAATGTATTATTTCGGCACTAAAAACCTCAACCTTGCCCAAAATAAAAGTACCAAAGTCTGTGTCTCCTGAAATAACCAAGGAACACTCAGTTTGTAACTCCCAAGAAATAGATCAATAAATATCACCAAACAAAACTGCATATTCTGCATCCACTTTGCATTCATTCATCTACATTCATGGCAGTACAAGGCACACAGTACAGATCTTATGGCAGTCTGCTGGTAACCACAATCTTTTCCAAACATAATGTAGGCCTATTATCGGCCCATATATGATATAGTTACTGTGACAAGGACAGAGATGTAGATCAGACTGTCCACTCTTCTCTGGCCATACGACCACAGGATTCTGCCATGTTGGGATCAATACAGGAATTTGTTTCAGACCAAGACTATGACTGCTGGACATTGAGCTAGACAGAATAACATTCCCAACTGGTTCGTTCTCATTAATAGTCATTATCAAAATGAAGCAAGATAAAAAAACCATAAATATAAACATAACACATACTTCTCCAAAGAGAATGTCCCCTAACGGCACACAAAATCCTGACCTCACTGCACCATGGAACAACGATTACTTCAAACACTACCTTTCTACCTTTACAGTAATCAACTGCTCTCTCTCTCTCTCTCTCTCTTTTAAGTCTAAAGTTCTTCCACAGCGAATCATGATGTGTCTACAGGCTGTCTTGGACTATTGGACTGCTGTCAGTACCAAGTAACAAACTACATTTCCACAGTCGTCAAAAGGGATGTTCACCTCAGTGGTGAAGTTTGTGACAAGAGAAAAGACGGACAAGAACCGAGTGGAAAATGGGACAAGGCTAGGACAAGTGTCAGGTCCCGGTTAAGACAATCATAACACTAAACACACTGTGTTCTCATATTTCTACATAACATACACTTACACCTTTATCATACTTTATGTATCGTATGAGCCCACAAATATAACAAGCACTTATCATTACATCTTCAAATACATTATTTGCTATCACATTAGCCAGATCTTTTATTAGCAAAGCAGAAAATGTGACAAAATTATTCCTCATACAAACTGTGTTTAATCTTTTTACAAGCCGCACTCAAAACCTTGTCTAGAGAATGAGGCACAAGTGCAGATTATGTGACAGTGGCTGCAGTTTCCTTGCCTCTCTCAATCTCAGGTATAAATAAATGGACTCTGGCTATTCTTTGCGTTGACACCATCACACGACATGCAGCATGACTACAAGAGCCACTTGTTGCCAGATTACTCCACTTGAATAAATTGGAAACCAATTTTATTCTTCAACAAGAACAAACAAGAACCCTGACTTCTGGTCCACATTTGAACCTGAATATTTCTTTTTATTTTTATGTCTACATTATCAAACATTCCCCATAAAATCATGTGAACTTTAATATTATAGAGGCTGGCTAAAAACACTTGGAAAAAAAAAGCAATAGCCTTGACACCTTGCTCCATGTTCTCGACACTTGTCTGGAATGGAAGATCAGAATGGACAAATCGTAGCTTGGACGGTACCTCTCGCAACGAAACAACCAGGAACACTCATATGATCCTAAAAAATCAGCTTGTTGCCTCATTATATCATGTATGCTGGCAATGAAATTACAAAGATCTTAAGTCATCTTAATAAGTAAGTCTAGGCCCAAAAAAAAGAATTCAACAACAAAGATGTTGGCTTTATAATACATTTCGTCGCCTTAGAACTATCTTGTCCAAAGTGCCACTTTCCTTATTAAGTGCACTTAGGCCAAAATAATTCTGAGGTGATGATTTGCGTGCATCACAGGAATATGGCCACCTTTGGTACAACCCATCTAATTACAAAACGGTAAATTTTAATGGAGTTATTGTTTTGCGCCTGTAATATACAGAAATGTTCAAAGAAAGGCAATCTTACTACATGAATATTGTAAGTGATATGTACCGGTATAGATTGAAAAGTCAGGACAGACTCAAAGGTAACGGAGCATGATGGCTTTTCCATTTTCTCCCTTGGTAAAATGGTTTTAAATAAAAACAACACATCCAAGAATCAGATGGCTTGCACCACAGACCGTCCGTACGTCCAGCGCCATTCTTCAGATTGCTGAGATGAGATTCTGGGCAGAAAGGCTACGTGTCTCCAGTCATGATGGCGATGAACTCATCCTCATTGACTGCCAAACACAGAACGAAAAAAGAAAGAATAGATTATAACATCTTATTTATGTTTCTGTTTGGGTGAAAGAAAAACACATTAAAATAGTGAGGGTGAGGGTGAGAGAGAATGAGGGGGAGAATGAGATAAAGCAACACAACAGGACGAAAATTGTAGAAGATATGTCAGAGCAGTGTTTTCTTAGAAGAATCAAGTGAGAATTAAAAAAACAAAATGAAGCACAGAAAATGTTTACTTTGAACAAAACTACACCAATAAAGGCAAAACAAAGATATCAAACAGCAAACCCAAAAATGTAATAATAGAGAAAAAATATCAAAGCAAATCTTTGACAGACATTTTTAAAGTTTCAAGAAAGATAACACACATTAATATGTGACATCAGTTGCATAAACTTGTGAAATGTTTGATCGAAATTCAAATTGTAAATGTCAAAAAAGCAAGGAAAGATACACGTAAAAAGGGAATATTTAGTTTGTAAAAGAATTCAAACAGTTTTTCCTCTCTCCTTAAAAATTTTGCTTTCTGAGCTTAGAACAACTGACCAGTAGGCTGATAATATTTTTTTACGTTTCCTTCACTTATTTATTTATGCTTTTCTTCTAAACTTTGAAATGTTTCTATTCAGTGGTCTTATGTATTCTAGAAAAAAAATACAGAATGGTATAAAAAATTCTCAGGAGATATAGGCCTTTCACATGGAAAAGATAAATTTGGCATACAGCTACTTTGAAAATTTAGTTTCTGGTACCTAATATTATTGATAAATTATTTTCAACTGTTAACACTCACTCTCTCCATCTCCGTCTCTGTCAAACTCATCAATCATAGCCCGAAGTTCCTCATCTGTCATATTTTCCCCGAGTTCTCTGAAAGGACACAAGAGCAAACTCATTCAAAGAAAAGGGAAACAATTACAATAGCATTATCTGATCAGCAAACATTTCAAAACGCACATTTCCAGCAACTCAAATATAAATCACTCCTACCATTGATAGGTATAAGGAGAACGCCAGAGTCCTGTTAGTTTGGGTTTTTTTGTTTTAAAATGAGTTTTACGACAATTGAAACTCAATTAGGTCAAACAAATGCCAAAGATTAGGGGTGTTGCAAGGGTGTAACTAACACAAAAAAGAAGATTTAGCTTCAGTAAGTGTTTTACGCCACTAGAAACACAATAAGGTCATATAAGTGCCAAAGTTTAGAGGAGTTACAAGAGAGTAACAAACACAAAAAAGAAGGAGGAGAGATAAGGACGACAGATGTTTAATAGGAAAGAAGAAGCAAACCACACCAGAGCACCCGCCAACCACCCACAAAAAAAATTTAAAAAGAAAACCACACCAGGGAGCTCTCGTGGCCTAAAGCTTAAGGTGTTCATCTCTCATTCAAAAGTCCTAGGTTCGAATCTGGGTAGCGACGGAAAAATTTTCTTCTCTAAAATTGTCTCCTTTCACCTCCTTTCCGGCTCTCTAGCAATATTCTGTCACCTGCTTTCGTCTCCACTTTCTGCCCCCAACCCCTCACTCTGGGCTCCTGACTCTTTCTGCATCCTTTCTACTGCTACTCCTTGGCTCCTTCTTCCTTCCTTCCTCTGGCTGGCCTCCGTTAGGAGGGTGGCAGTCTGCCGCAGGAAGACAGGTAAGCGGCAACCTCTTGTGGCCTCGTCCAGAGTACATCCGGGCCCGGTCTCGCGTTGTTCTCCATTAGTGGGCCTCGATGTGCTTCCCCCCGCAGGCACTTATACAGTGCGTGCTGCAGGTCGTCAGGACTTGTGCCACACGCCATACAGGAATCATTGGGAGCGGAGCCTATTGCATGGAGATACGTCTGCAGGAAGGGGCTCTTCGCATTGCATCTTTGCTGCGATAACACTCTTCTCTGTCTGACGGTAAGGTCTCTCTCTTTGTCCCTCTCTGGTGGTGGCTTTACCTTTCCCCCTTCTTACTGCTGTCTTTTAGCAACATCCCTGATCTTCTGGTAGGAAAGATCTACACCTAGCCTCGGCCGCCACCCAGTCAAAATTCAAAATTTCCTACCAGCTGAACATGTTTAACGTGTCCTGCGTGCTCATACGACTGTATGCAGTTGCGAGCACCGTAAAACGCTTACAAAAAAAAAAGACAGAACCACCCACCGGCAAAGTTTTGAGACAACAATATAAATACTTTACTCTTTAATCACTTCCTTCATTGTTGCTTTTATTCTGAAAACTCATATACGCTTTTGCCCTTAGATCCAGTACCGTAAAGAGATGGCAAAAACTGAGTGGCATGTCTGCCAGTTCCAACAAAGGGCATTGACTCCTATCACGCTCTGTATCTGTTCTCAATGGCAAAAGACAAAAGACCTGACTGCATCCCTTTGTTGAAAAATAGGAACCATGACCATGCACTTCTTAAAGAAAACCAATAAATCAGAGAAGCTATTCACATTTTGAAAACAGTTACTGGCTTAAATAAAGTTTAAAAACAAGTACATCCCTATAGATAATACTGTCACTTACAGCCGACAAAAGACAAAACAAAGAGATAATAATGAAATAAGACCGCTCGATGGGCAAGCACAAACTATGCACTACCAAGTCCAGATAATCAGGAAGGACAGAGCAACCACACAGAACAACCATGTATGGGACAGAGCAACCATATATATAGGACGGAGCAACCATATAACCTGGACCTCAATGAGTTGAACTAAGACATGAAAAGACTCTACCTGCCGAGAATACTACCTATGCAAAATTCCAAAGTGATTACAAATTAGGAAATTATTTGAAGTTAAAGTAATGACCAAAATATATAATTTAGTTAAATGCTTATAAACTGGGAAATAATTAAGTTAAATATTTATAAACTGGGAAAACTTATGTAAAAGCAAGATATAGCCACAATGTGAGCACACACTCTCACACACACACTCATACACACACACACATACAAACACACACACACACATACAAAAACACACTCGTTCACATGGACAGCGCCGTCTTATGTCACAGAGTGAACTCTATCTACCTTGCAACTCGTCTCAAGTTTCGAAGACTAATTTTTCCTGACGTGTCATCATCGAATAATTTGAAAGCCTTGAGGATCTCCTCCTGGGGGTCTCGCTCCAACATCATGTCTGTCACTGACAACAAATTACACCAGAGAAACTTTGGTTACAAAATACTCCAGCGAATGTTTGTCTACAAAATACACCAGGGAACGATTGTTTGTAAACAAAATACTCAAAAGAAAGTTTGTTTACAAACAAAATACTCCAAAGAAAGTTTGTTTACAAACAAAATACTCCAAAGAAAGTTTGTTTACAAAATAATGGTGATTGTAAATATGCATAATATAAGTTTGTGTGTGCGTGTGTGTGTGTGTGTGTGTGTGTGTAAGCTCAAGCGTGAGTATGTATGGGGCTTTACAAAGTTCACAAATGCAGAACGTGATATCTGAATAAAACACAAAGTACTGATGCTTTTAATCATTCTCAATACGCAGTCCTGTATATTTTTCCATTTATTTTATACTTCCTACTATGTCCCTGTTTTAAAAGACTGACTTACACTGAAAAGTGCCACATTCAAACAGCATCAAATGAAAAGACACTCACTGACTTCGTTGAAGTTTTCAAATGAGATTTTTCCAGTTCCTTCTCTGTCATAATCTCTCAAAATCTTCAGAACATCAGCTTTCTTGACATCAAAACCCAGAGCTCTCATGGCAACCTGAAGTTGAGAGAAGATGAACATAACTGAAAATTTATGTTGATCTAACCACACCCAAAAATGAAAACTCTCAAGTGAATGATGGGATTAAAAATCGTATTATACACCAACATAGAAAGAGACAAATTGTCGCCATTGAGACAAAGTAAAGAAAGAAACTGTTATCGGTGTATTTGTCAAAGTCAATCATAAACCACACATACAACTCTTATTTTGCAATCTTATTTTGCAATCTTCACAAATGAATATAAAACTTATACAGTTGAACATGCTGCAACGGCCACCTGTTTAAGACAATCACCTGTACAAACGGCCACCTGTATAAAGCACAGTCACCTGTACACACGGCCACCCCCATTTCTCTTATTACAGTTTTTCTACATTAAAATGATACTTTTTAAGATTACTATATTAAGATGGCTATCTGTCTAAAGCAGCCATTTTTCTTCTCAACAATAGACCACTGTCTTAAACAATTTTGACAGTATATAGATTACCTTCAGCTCATGGTAGTCAATAGCTCTGTCCTTGTCTGTGTCAAAGAGATCAAATGCCTCCTTGATTTCTTGTTTTTGCTCCTCAGCAAGCTCTCTCTTCTTCTTCTTTTTGTTTTTGTCAAGAGCAAACTCGGCTCTGGAGTATAAAAAGGATGATTACATATAATTATAATACTGCAGAAATAAATTATAGCATCTTCATTGATTATATTCATCGCTTGTGTGCCAGTCGGGCTGCCAATACTGAAAAGTCGTTACCTCTAACGATTGCCAGAGAGATTCTCTCTAACAACCACATCTCCTGTGGGTCACCTGTGGCGTTTGTAAGATGACCAACTTTCTGGAAGAACTGGGTCGTCAGGGGACCGTGAGTGCCGGATGTTTCGACGGCCACTAGGACGAAGTGGTAGCGGTCGTTGAGGCTTGCATACTTTCTAATTTTGGACTCTTCTGCCTTCTTGGCGATACAGCCGGGAGCAGAGTCAGAGAAGGTGATGAACAACGGTGAGAACGAGTCAGAGCATGTGGTGTCCCACACGAGGCATTTGCCACCCTCAAAAGGAAAGATGGTAATGCCAGCCGGTCTTTTGCCGTTGCCGTTGCCGCGGTCGATTATATATATTACAGTACAGCAAAACTTCTGTTTTTTTAATTAATGGGCATATTGTCATAAACACTGTGTGTTAGGTAATGACATAGTAAGTATCATTCCAAATGCCATTCAAACACATAAACCTGAACAGATACTTGTTAGGCAGCTGTTTGTATCAGATGTGGTCACAATTTACTAAAACGCATCCAACGAAATAGCTATCAAGGCTTAGTCTACTATCTTGCTAACCAAATACGACCACAAGAGACACTCTCATCTTCCATAAACACTGCTGCATGTCACACTCTCAGACCTTTTAAATATGAAACAGAGAGTCAGAGAGAGAGACGAACGGATGAATGGATGGGCTGGAGAATTCTAGCTGTTTTTTATCTTTCAAAATATATAACACCACATTCCCAATGGCCTTTGGCAAAGGACAGCCTGAACTGAACTCCCTTCAGAGGCAAGACCAAATCAATATCTTCCACTTGCGATCCCACCACAAACCCCTGAATCTAGCCTGAAATAGAATCAAACTGCACCTCTGCAAATCAATGTAAACACCCATTATAAAACAAGCAGTCTATCATATATGTAATATTTTTGCACTTTGTGAGATGCCAAGCTCTGTGATTTTGAAAAAGATCACTGCCTCCACCACCAGATATTGAACAATGGACTAGAAATCAACTGTGCGCTCAAACCCTGAGCATTTCAAGGAGGAAAACAACCCTATTCTATGTCATGGCATCAAATTGAAGGGCTACAAGAGCTCAAATGACTGCTGGATAGGATTGGGAACAGCAAAATGAGATAAAATAAAGTAAAATAGTAAATACAATTAAGTATAAAGATAAGTATAGTAAAAAGTAAAAACAGTTGAGTGGCACAGGATAGTAAAGTACTAGATTAGATCTACTAGACTCTAGATCTATGATTTTAACTCTAAAAACAGAGCACACTAGATTCTAGATCTAAGTAGATCTAGATCTAGATCTAGTAATGTGACTCAGTCTAAAACTAAAGAAAGTGGCTATTCTCACCCGCCCGGAAGTTCTCGCAAGATCTACTCCTCCCCTCTTCTCTCTCTCTCTCTGTCTCTTTCTGAATACTGTCTATCGGTGTGGACGATCAAATTGACCCAAAAAAAGTTTTAAAATGATGTTAAAACACAAAAGTAAATTAATTTGGTTGTCTACAAAGATGCTACGGCTATTTAACTTTTCGAATCGAGCTGAACTACGCGGGTCGCCATTTTGTTTTGTTCTCTCTCTCACTCTCTCTCTCTCCCCTGCCCACCCACAGACAAAATTGTACGCTTTTAGTAGGCTACAAGTACAGTTGTAATGGAACGTTTGTTCACAGCACAGAATTCTACAATTTTTCTCTTATCACAGTGTAGAATTTTGTGGTTTAGGGTAAACGCAAAATTTGTTGACACGCGCACCGGGTGAGAATAGCCACAAGACCCGCCTGCACTATTCTCACCCCGGTGGCCAAAACTAAAATATAAGAAAGTAAAACATGCAAAAATACTCAAACATATTGGGGCATTCCAAATACTCTTGATAATAACCAATGACTTAAATTCACAAAGTTATGATACTTTTAAAGGATAGAGTCTAGATCTAGATTCTAGTAGTCACTGTAAGATTTCGAGATCAAATGAAAGAACATGAAACATGTTCAAACTCGATCACTTGCGCCAGCACTTCGTCAGTGGGTGCCTCCTGCTCCTAGCTCGCCTGGAGCATAGGCCGACGACTCTTGATTTCCAGGTAAAATATACAAAGATAAAAAACATGAATGATTACATTACTAAACCAGTACAATCCAAACTAAAATGAATTATCGGGCGTGGAGTGAGGATACGTTCACATAACTTACCGTAGCGAAAGGCTCATTTTTCTGCCCGGTGACTCTGTTGCTTGGTTCCAAAGCAAAATTCGGATTTCGACAAATAGGCTATCTGATTCTATTTTTGTAAGACAACAAGAGAATATAAAAAGATGTATGGAATTCTGAAACATTACAAACAAACGAAACATTAGAGGAACTATTAAATTATATTAAATAAATATATAATTAGATTATTTATTTTTATTAATTATCATAAGAATATTATTGGGGTTGGGGTTTTTTGTTGGGGGGGGGGGGGGGTAGTGTACTTCAGATATGATGAACGAAGCTGATATTCCTCATGTTGAAGTCCAAATGACTTACAATCAAGGAGTTTAGAACTACTTTTAATCTCCTTGCTTACAATACAATAATTGTGAAACCTTATTATAATTATTGTTCCTAAAAACCGAGCGGTGGAGCCAAACGAAGAAAGTGTCCCCCGAGCCTCCTCGCTCTCCCGTATACCATGAATGAAATAGGAGGCTATACAGTACAGTGTTACTAATACTATTGAATTGTCTTGAAGTTTGATCATGCCGAAACTCCAAACTTTTTTAAAGCACGGATGCAAAATAATAAATACGTACCTGATAAAGAAAAAAAAAAGAAAGAAGGAAAGAAAGAAAGAAAGTGAATGATAATAAATTAATAGATTAATAATAACAAAAAGGCCAAAAATAATAATCAAGAAGAAGAAGAAGAAGAAGAAGAAGAAGAAGAAGAAGAAGAAGAAGAAGAAGAAGAAGAAGAAGAAGAAGAAGAAGAAGAAGAAGAAGAAGAAGAAGAAGAAAAATTGTATCAACAATAAATGACAACAACAACAACAACAACAACAACAACAACAACAACAACAACAACAACAATAATAATTTTTTAAAATTATTATTATTATTATTATTATTATTATTATTATTATTATTATTATTATTATTATTATTATTATTATAAGCCTGTAAACAGGAAATAGCGTTATAATTACTTTAAGTGCCCCCACCCCCTCACAACCTTTGCGGCCTCTTAAAATTGTGTGTTTCTTTTGGTACGGGTAAGTGTTTTAAGGTACGGCGCTCACAACAGCAAGGTTGGATCATTACATGAACGCGCAGGACATAAACAATATTCAGTTGGTAGGAAATTTTGAATTTTGCCCGGGTGGCAGCCGATGCCTATACGTACTCTTATTGATTTTTTTTTTTACCATTAAGGGATCTTAAACGTGCACAACTTGCATAATAAGATTAGGGGTGTGGCTGAAAGACAAAACAGTCATTCAGAAAGAGTGAGGAGCCCAATGAGGGGGCGGGGGGGGGGGGGGGGGGCTCTCGTGGCCTATAGAGGTTAAAATGTTCGATCGCCTCTCAATTCTCATTCAATAGGGATCCCGGGTTCGAATCCGGATAACGACGGAAAATGTTGTCTCTAAAAATTTCTCCTTTCACATCCTTTCCTGCTCACTAACATCTGTCGTTGCTTTCGTCTCCACTTTCTGTCCCCGCCCCCTCACCTCCTTTGTCCCCTCCTCGACTGGGCTCCTGATCTTTCTGCAGCCTTTCTTCTGTTTCTCCTTGGTTCCCTCTTCCTTGGCTCCGTCTTAAACTGCTGTCAAGGGCTAAAAAATCTCGAAGATCCTGTGTGCAAGTTGCTCAAGTTAAAGATCCCTTGGTCAAAAAGTCGATAAGAGTAGGCTATGTTACTTCGGGATCGCCACCCGGGCAAAATTCAAAATTTCCTACGAACTGAAAATGTATATTAGTATATTATTATTAATGTGTCCTGCGTGCTCATATTATTATGACCTTATGCAGTTGCGAGCGTCTAAACACTTATAATAATAGGCCCCTATTACCCCCTCTCCCCCTAAAATAAATAAATAAATAAATTTAAACAAAATAAATAAATAATAGGGCCTACTACTAAAATAAAAAATAAATAATAACGTTTTTACTTGGACAAACGCAGAACAAAACTGTACCCGTCGGTCAAGCAGCGGCGTTACCCTCTCTGTTTTTAGTTTTGTAAGTTTTACGATACTTGTAACAAAATTGGGTCATATTAGGTGCTGTAGATCAGGTGTTACAAGAGAGCAACAAACACAAAAAGGAGGAGAGACACCGAAAGAAGATGCAAAAGGGGAGCAACTGATCATGAAGGAATGGAAAAACAGCTGTACTGATAAACTTAACCCTGAAACCAAACCTTTTCTTCTTCAGATGAGAAGCAGGCATTGACGATCACAGTTCCCAATGCTGCCTGTCCGGTTCATTTACCGGGTACGAATTATACATGTAAGCTTTTTTGTTGCAAAGTTTGCAGTGTTTTGTGTCATTTGTGTACATGTATCATGTTGTTTTCTTTGTTTGTAACGTGTTTTACGGCGCTCGCAACTGCATAAGGTCATATGAGCGCGTGGGACACACAGCTAATATTTTCAGGTGGTAGGAAATTTTGAATTTTGCCCGGGTGGCGGCTGAAGCCTACTCTTATCGATTTTAGACCACCAAGGATTCTTTAACGTGCGCAACTTGCACACGGGCCCTCCGAGATTTTTCGCCCTTGTCCGAGAAGGCTAGGAGTAGATCTTTCCTACCAGAAGATCAGGGGTGTGGCAGAAAGACAGCAGTAAGGAGGAGCCATGGAGTAGCAGTAGAAAGGCTGCAGAAAGAGTCAGGAGCCCAGAGGAGGAGGCAAAGGAGGTGAGGGGGTGGGGGCAGAAAGTGGAAATGAAAGCAGACAACAGAACATTGCTAGAGAGCAGGAAAGGAGGTGAAAGGAGACAATATTTTAGAGAAGAAAATGATTTGGTCGCAACCCGGATTCGAACCCGGGACCTTTGAATGAGAGGCCAACACCTTAACCTCTAGGCCACGAGAGCCCCTGTTGTTTTCTGTCTGAGACCAAGCTAGGAAATGTTTAAAAAAACACAACAAAAAACAACCCAATCGTGTGAAAAGGTGAAACGGCACAGGTGTAGCTTCTAAGTTCTTGCGTGGTCTAAGATTTTGTATAAGAGGCGGGACCTCCGATATAAAAAAAAGTCCATCTCCTAAAGGACCAAGTAAATAGGACATTTATGTAAAGGACCAAGTAAATAGGACATTTATGTAAAGGACCAAGTAAATAGGACATTTATGTAAAGGACCAAGTAAATAGGACATTTATGTAAAGGACCAAGTAAATAGGACATTTATGTAAAGGACCAAGTAAATAGGACATTTATGTAAAGGACCAAGTAAATAGGACATTTATGTAAAGGACCAAGTAAATAGGACATTTATGTAAAGGACCAAGTAAATTTCCCAAACCAAGGACACAATGTCGGATTGAGCTGTAGCTTGAAGCCAAAGAATGCATGAAGGGCTGAGCTTACCTTGTCATTAATAGTAGATCTAATAGTATATAAGTAACATTTAACACACAGAGCTTGTCTTCCACTCCCATTGTCAAGTCAAACGACTTGATGGGATCCCAGGTCGGTGAACAAAGCACAAAGTCTTATTTTTGGATGAGGACAAACCCACAGTAATGTGTCACGACAAGGGAGGAATCAGGCGCTCGTCAATTTTTGGGAATAGGCCTATGGAGTTATTTGCATCATTCTAATTAAAGTTAAACTAAAGCCTGTTGATTTGCTTAGCGCAGTTTGATTTGAAAAAGTACCCATTACATGTAGTTGTATTGAATAGGAGTCGAGATACAGGCAAACCTATGTAAAACGGCCACCCTTTGTCAAGGAGAAATGTGGCCGTTATAACACAGGTGGCTGTCGAGGTAGGACTGGTCAAAATGAAGAAAGCAAATCATTCTCTTCTGAAGTCCAAACCGGGGCTGATCGGAGACTTCTGACTGCCGTAAGGCTAATTCAAAAGGGTTTTAATTTTCTTTTGAAAAAGGGGGTGGGTGGTGTAAGAAGGGTTTTTCGTGTTGTTGTAGTGTTGGTTTTTTTTTTTTTGGTGAGCAATTTTTTGTTGCTGATTTTGTGCAAGGGTAAAATAAAAGAAATACTATGACAGTAAAACGATTAAAACCAATTAAGTGCCATGGTAAAATAAACACACGAGTCGCCACCACTCGGAGAACAAGCGACGCTTTTGTCGCAAGTTCAAGTCAAGTCCATTGCTTCAGATTAGGTAGATTAGGTAAACAAAACAGTGACCAGTCACTTCACGTACGATTTGTGCATGAGTTGTGGGCGGGGCTTATTATAGCTTCCCTCACCAACAGTAGAAAATTTATTGTTAGGCCTACCCATTGGTCAACTAGGGTAAACATTCTCATTGGAGGGAGTAACATACTAACAATAATGCCTGGTGAATGAATTATGACGGCCCGTCCACAGCGTGAGGGGCCGATTAAAAATTTATGACAAAGCGTCAGGCAATGAGTGACCTCGCCTGGCCGCCTCAGGCAGATAAATCAGACAGTGGCGATTGATAAAATAAACTGGCCGCAGCCGTGACCGTTTTCATATAACATGTAGAAAAAACGCATGGAGGGAGGGGGAATGGAAAGTGGCTGTTTGTACAGGTGGCCGCCATGGCAGGTTCCACTGTATTTGCAATTGAAGTGGGAGTGGGTCGCCTGGTGGTATCCGAGGTAAAATAAGGGAGAACATGGCTGCCAAATTTTGGAGGTTTCCAAAGCTTGAGTGTCCCTGGAAACTACAAATTTACATATTATTTTTGTTCCTCTCATCACATTTTTTCCCCAGTAAAATGCAAGCAGGAATACGTTTTAAAAAAATGGATACCGTGGAACTCGGATTCAACGAAGTCGTCGGGCCTGGTCTTCAATTTCGTTGAATCAAAGTGTTCGATATTTATACTATAGAAAAAAACGAGGTCTTTGTGTAGATAAATTCTGGCATCGAGCAAGTAAAGTAATATGTATAATGTATTCGATTTTCTCAACCAAAAATACAGTTTGATTTCAAATGAGGACCATTTTCGGTCGTTTCTCTTTGATGCCAAAGAAATGCTGGAAAATTCCTTAAACTCTACCATGCACACACTGTGCAAAAAGGCCAATTCATTCAAATGCACGCTTGTGTCGTCTATTATATTATCTATTTTTTTG